TATCCACATTTGCCAGCTTAGAAGAAAAGTACTTTTCTTAATTTGCTTTTTTTTCCAAAAATATATATATAGATATATTTTATTGATTTCAGAGAGGAAGGAAGAGGGAGAGATAGAAACATCAACGATGAAAGAATTGTTGGCCGGCTGCCTCCTGCATATGCCCTACTGGGGATTGAGCCCGCAACCCATGCATGTGCCCTTGACCGGAACCGAACCCAGGACCCTATTTAGTCTGCAGGCCGGTGCTCTATCCACTGAGCCAAACTGGCTAGGGCCTTAATTTGCTTTTCATTGGACTTAGAGAAACTCCAGGCTGGTGAGTGGACAGGTGTGGGTTGTGCCAGAGCCTCCCAAGGTCTTGGTTTACAGTCCAGCCGATTCTCTCCATGGTGAGAAAGCTCACGGGTGTAGGGAAAACATGTGACAGATCACATCACTATGCCAAGAGCCACTTTAGGGGTCCACACCCTGTTGAGTCTCGGTGTCCCACTGGGAGTTCAAAGCTATGCAGCCGAGAGCGTGCGGCCCAGGGAGCCGTGGAGGACTGGGAGCCTCTGGCATTCGCTGGGTGTGCTGGTCAGGACGATACCGCTCATCTCTAGGGATTTGCAGGCTCAGCTCTGGTCTTAATGATCCGCCGGATCGATGTTCTCAAACGCCTCTCCGGCAGCCGCAGCCCTCTGCTCCTGTTGGTTGGCTTCCTTTGTCACAAGGCAGGGTTGGCTTACAGTTGCTGAAGGTCATGGGATTTTGTCAGCACCTCATTGAAATGAGACATTTGTGGCCCCGCGTTGTATTGTTTCTGCTGATAGGAGCCCAGTGCCGCATTCACATATGGTTAGCTCAACTGCTTTTCCTAGTATGAGATATATATATATATTTTTTTTAATGTTTTTATTGATTTCAGAGACGAAGAGGAGAGAGAGAGAGGAGAGAGAAATGATTCAATGATAGTAGAGAATCATTGATCCATTACCCCCGGCATGCCCCCTACTGGGGATTGAGCCCACAACCTGAGCATGTGCCCTGACTGGGAATTGTACTCTGACCTCCTGGTTCATAGGTCGATGCTCAACCACTCGGCCACACTGGCTGGGCAGCCTTGGAGAGAGTCTCGGTGAAATTCCGTCCACAGCCTTTTTTCCATGCAGAGGCACAGCTAGGAGTTCAGAGTGGGGGAGACTGGGAGGTGCGGGATGAAGTCTGCCCGTTGATGTGTTTGTGTCGGGACTGTGGGCTGGCCCCATAGGCCCCGGTCCGATCTTGGGCTGCTCACTAGATGACTTGGGTGATTCCCTTCCCCTCTCAGGCCCTCTATCTTCCCGTGTACAAAGGGGGGGGGAGGGGAGTCCTGCCAGCATACCCTCCACGGGATTGGAGGGTTCGCTGGAAAAGTACTGGTGGCTTACTCTGTAAACAGTCATTTGCAGCCGAAACGGGTTTGGCTCAATGGATAGAGCGTCGGCTTGGAGACTGAAGGGTCCCGGGTTCGATTCCGGTCAAGGGCATGTACCTTGGTTGTGGGCATATCCCCAGTGGAGGGTATGCAAGAGGCAGCTGATCGATGACTCTCTCTCATCGATGTTTCTAACTCTCTATCTCTCTCCCTTCCTCTCTGTACAAAATCAATAAAATATATATTTAAAAAAACAACAGTCATTTGCTGTCCCAGCTTCGAGCAACATGAGCACCATGTATGGCAATGAATACCCACTTTGGAAGACTGAAGAGGTTCTAGAGGCTGTGTACAAGTCACCAGCACCTAGTGCTGAGGGGAGAGTCCCCACCTCCGCTCTTCGTCTGCCACATGAATGGGAAGACCTTGACCCACAGCGCCTTCTCTGAGCTCCTGGGGTTGACACACACTTTTAAGTCATTTCACATCACGTTGTTAAGCTCACTTTGAACTTTGAAGTCCGGTGAACCAGCTCCACATCAGGGAGAAAATATCAGCTTGCAGCCTCTCCAACCTGCAGCCACAAGGACTGTAACCATTGACCTTTCCATGGGCATTTCCTGTCCCTTCGAATCCTAGGAGGTTGGAGCTAGGTTCGTATGTCAACAAAACTCCTGGAGGCCGTGAAAGGTGCCTTAAAGCCCCCTCCTTCACTTCCTGCATCCTTCCGAACACCCGGCACAGTTCTCAGTAAGCAGTTAATACACCCTTGAATCTGCTAATAGATGTGATGTCGTTTTGAGGGACCGTCCAAAAATAAAAAGAATGTAGAATATGGGGCCAGTGAAGCTCCAAAGCTTTGTAATGAGCGCGATGTAAACCAGTTTACCTTGAGCTAGAAAGACCACAGGTGACTTCTTCAGTCACGTGGGGGCCAGGCCAGAGCAGGTGGGTGGCCAGTCAAATCTCCCTCCATTAATGACTATAGATTACACTGACCACACAGCAGGGCGTCGGCAATAGTGGTCGGAGACTTAGCTATGTGAAAAGGAAACCTTTAAGTAGATTTCTATGGTGTAGGGAATTTTCCTTATCGAAACCAGTGGATTTACCCGCCCTCGCTTCCCCGTCTACCCCATCGTTGGCATCTGCTCGGTGCTCAGCCAAATCCAGGTCAGGATAAAGAGGCGATTTGGATGGCAGAAAGCTAGATAGGCTCCTGCAGTAATACTCAATTACTGGATTCTCTTGAAGCACCAGCTCCTCTATAATGAAGTCCTCAGTTTTTAAATATCTTTAGAAATCAGGTGATTGAGTATTGGCAACAGCCAGCTTGCTGCTTCCCGCTCTCTTACGGCGAAATCCCAGGAGCTGGCTGGGGTTGTTAAAAGATAATCTTAAGCCTTTTAGTGCATATTATTCTTCATTCAACTTTGAGCTGCAAAGCCTCTGAACGGAATAGGCCAGGAATGAGGCAGAAGAGAAATCAGCTTGCTGCCATTATCCCACAGCCCTGCGACCCCAGCCAGAGCTGCTGATGCCCTGGGCAACTCCTGGCCTCCCAGGGGCCACCATAGCCAGAGCTTGGGGGGGGAGGGGGGGGTTCAGGGTGGCAAAAAAAGCCACTGCAGGTATGGGTTATTCCTGCTCGGTCTGAACACAGTGGATCCAAAACGCAGTAAAACAAAAGGTGTGTGCACATCGCGGCTCACAGTGTGTTTTCCAGCACAGTTGACATCGCTGGCTTGCTTTGGTGAACTTGGACTTGAATAGTATCTTTGCGCTGTCGCTCTTTTCTTCCTTCTACTTCCCTGTCATGGAACCTGTCCGTGGACCCGCGATGCTGTTTATACCTCTGTTAATGATGTGCCCGTCGGCAGCACGTGTCCCCGACATTTCTCCTTTTGTTAATAGTATTACATTACTGGGGACCCTGGACGTCAGGGAAGCAGTCATCAGTCGTATAGCCCTTCAGATTTCTTACTCTCCCCACGTGTGTCCATCTGCCCAATTACACGTGTGTTATTCGTACCAACTTTTTTATTTTTTCAATGTTGAAAGGTGATTGATGACGTGTAAACCAGTATTGTTTGCCATGGACTATTTTGGTGAAAGTAGCTTATGCTGCCTCTTGGGCTGGATGTAGTAATATATATATATATTTTTTTTTTCTTTTCTTTTTTCTTTCTTTCCTTTTTTTTTCCCCCCTAAGTGCTTTCTAACATTCAATTCTTGATTTAGAATCACCTGCTTTCCACTCCAAGGATATTTCACTCAGGCAGGCTCGGTTATAAAGTTTTTCACTGGGTATTTTAAAACAGTGAACATGCTTGTCTATAAATGCAGTAAAGTGTCTTTGTGATATATTGATCTTCCTTATTTTCTTGCCTCTCTTGTTACCAGACTGTGGGTGGTGACATTTGAAAAATGTATTATAGGGGATGAAGTGCAACATTTTAAGCCAAGAAATTGAAAACAGGATGCGAAACAAGAAGGGAGGGGAGGGAGAGAGTCGATCAAGGTCATGTCTGTATATTAAGGATTTGATGGCGGGAGAGGCAGGTTTGCATTTATAAATAGGCAGGTGGCACGGGGAAGTGTTGGGAAAGCTCACCTGGTCTCAGGCAGGGATAGAAGGTCTTTGCCACAGAAAATCATAAAACCAAGAACAGCCAAAGGACTTCTATGCATGCATATAAGCCTAATTGACACAGACAACAGGGCGGTAAGGGCATGAATGGGAAGGGGTCGGGGGTTAAGGGGGAATAAGGACACATATGTAATACCACAATCAATAAAGAAGTTTAAGAAAAGAAAAAATAAAACTAAGAACAAGTTAGCAAAAGTTATAAGCTGTGGTGTTGAACTGGGGGAATTTGCCATTTTGTTTATCTGCAAGTAATCCCAATGCCCAGAAGGGAGCAGGGTCCAGATGGTGACCCCAATTCCACATGGACTGTTTCTGCACTGTGAGAGATGAAGCCCATTCATCATTAAGCAAAAGTAATGGTTTTTAAAGTTGCATCTTCAGAGGTTATCCATTTATTTATATAAAAGCCTAAGCGACCATTAAGACTGAATGACTGGAACAACCAGTCACTATGATGTGCACTGACCACCAGAGGGCAGACATTCAACGCAGGAGCTGCCCCCTGGTGGTCAGGGCACTCCCCCAGCAAACTTCCCCCAGCCTCTCCCCCTGGCCTACCAACCTCCCACAGCTCCTTCCTCCCCTCCCCCCCCCCCCCCGCCCCCACACACCCCACCCAGCCAACCTTCTGCAGTCCCTCTCTCCTGCCAACAGCCGTGCCCTGCCCCCGCCTCTGCATAGGCCCTGATTAGGAGGACAGCCGGCCAACCTCCTGGGGGTCCCTCCCTGTGGGCGGCCGGCCCCTCCTGCCTACACCCCTCCACACACACACTTAGGCCTCAATCGCCACCCTACCCGAGCACAAACTTGTGCACCAGGCGTCTAGTGATACATAACAGGGAATGCGTTTTGAGGCCATTTTGAGTGATTTGTTCAGAGCACGGGTTTCTCCTAGTATATTGAGTGCGTGTAAATGAGCCCATCCTTACGCTGCTTTCTCTTCTGTTTCAGCACATCAGGTCCACCCATTTGGCCGGGCAGTACCTTCTTCAAGAGAAATGGAGCCCTTCTACAAGGTAGGTCTCTCCAAGCACCTGTTCCCCTCCGCCTTCTCTTCTGGTGCCAGCCAGCAGAGCTGTCCTGTGGAGGAGTGGGCACTGGAGAAGTGTGACTGCTGTGGTTCGGGTCTGTCATTTCTTCCTGCTCACATCTTCCGGTTGCTGTGAATTGCTCGTCTGAAACCAGGACTGCTCCTTTTGGTCTGTTGCTACTGGTCCTGGTCTAGGCGTGTTTGGCTTGCTTTGGTGAACTTGGACTCCCGCGGCAGTTAGGATGTGACAAGAGCATCAACCAGGCGAGTCAAAAACAAACCCCCCTGCGTGTTTTCAGTGCGCCGGATGTTTTGGGCATCTGTTGGCAGTTTGTTCACCGTGGAGGGCCACGTATTTCTGGCTGACCCCTGACATCCACATGTGCCTGAATGGGTGACTGTGGTTAGTTCTGAGGCTCAGACACCTCTCCCTTGTCCCTGCAAGCCTCATTTGTGGGGGGACATCCTTCCTGCGGTCCAGCTCACAGGACACCTTCCTGCGGTTCAGCTGCTGTGCCCAAGTTCCCATGCAGTGTGCTCGAGGAATTCAAACTGTCTTTCAACTCCACTTTTGCCGTTACATTTCTTTGGAAATAGCCAAAGTTACAGAAGAATAAATGGTTTAAAATAGCAATAAGATGCACGCTAAATACTTTTAGAAAGTACTTTTGGGTGATTGCTGTTTTGGATAGCTGCTCGATAGATCAGCTGGAATTGGCTGGCTCCTCAGGCCCCAATGACTGGCCAGATGTCAGAGTGGTACAGTGGGCCACCATCAGGTGGACTGGGTTAAACCAAGAAGTTTAGAGCTGTACTGGGCTTAAGGTGAGGCATTTCAGTGCATTTTGGTTGTTTTAGACCTGTTTGGTTGGTTTAAGCCTCTTTTCCTTAAACGTACACACGAGGGCTGGCCATGTGGGTGAATATGAATGTGGCTAAGAAAAGTGACGTCTATTTTCAGGTTTCTGGAGTAGCTCAAACAGTTTTGAATGATGTCGCATGTTTGTCATTGTGTCACGGGCCATGCAATTGCATATTGCCGTTCTAATAGCCTGTGAGATTGGGAACCTGAGAATGTCTTTGCATTTTTGCTCGGTACAGGGTGAAATATAGGCAGGCAGGTTTGAGTCATGCTAATTTTAACGACCACTCTAGACATCCTAATTATTTAAGGAAAAAAGGGAACTCCCTCCGCTTTCAGAAATTAATACACAATTTTTAAAAGATCTACCCTATTCCCCCTTTAGGTGGTATATATGGAAATAAACCTTGATGAGCCTTTGGCTTTCTTCCAGGGAATTCCAAAGGGCTGTGTGTCTCCACTTTCCCTCTAGATCCACCGCAATGAATATCACTGGTGTCTGAGTTATTTTCAGCAAAGGGATTTTATTTACGTAGAGAATTTCCTTACAGGATTTTTATTCATTGAGTTTTACATTAGGTAAGATTTGCTCTAAGCACCTTACTTTTGGGTTGTTTCAAGCAAAAGCCTGAGGGGAGACATTGGTAAGTTTTCTGACGTTGAGTGGTTTGGCTGTGAGAGTCTGTCTCGTGGGCGGGAGACCTTTTTTCTCGTCGTGATAGGGTTAACAATCCTCCTAATTACTCAGGGCATTGAGAATGAAATGATGACATATGTCAGAAGCTCATTGAGGCCAGTTCGGAGCAGCCCATTTATTTCTTTGTACGTGTGAAAACCAGAAGATTCTTGGAGAGACTTTGAGGGTGTGGGCCGGGATTTGACAACTTTGTTTTTCTGTGCTAGTTTTTCATTTGCTAGTTCTGACTATGGAGTTCTCCAGACACTTACTGTGACAAGGTTTTTCAAGCTATCCTAATTAATATTTCTATGTTTCTTTGGTGGGTGGCACTGGCTCATCAAGAACTCGCTGAAGCCCACAAGCAAAAGTTTTGCAAAAAGGTAATGGTGGCCGTAACAGGTTTGTCTCAGTGGATAGAGCGTCGGTCTGCAGACTGAAAGGTGCCAGGTTCGATTCCAGTCAAGGGCATGTACATGGTTGCAGGCACATCCCCAGTAGGGGGTGTGCAAGAGGCAGCTGGTCGATGTTTTTCTCTCATCGATATTTCTAACTCTCTATTCCTCTCCCTTCTTCTCTAAAAAAATCAATAAAATATATTTAAAAAAAAGAAAAGGTAATGGCGTATGAAGAAGGGGGCTGCCCTGTCCTACCAGCAGGAGGTCAGATTAGACGCGGGTAGACGAAAACGCCCTGACTCACGCTTGCTTTCTCATCTTTGTACTTTCCATTTTAAAAATAGGAGCACATACCTTCTTTTCCCCTGGAACAAGCAGGAGGACATTTTTCTAGACATCAGACTCTAGGCAAGAACTCTGTTACCAGGTTCCAGCCACAGGGAGTGGGTTGCAGGTGAGCAGGCCCCCTGAAGAGCCCAGTTTGGGGAAGTGGGTAGAAGATGAAGCTTCTATCGGTGACACAGGCCCAGGGGCCAGCCGGCAGAGCCCAGCCTAGCTGTGGGCCCCGTTGGAGCAGAGCTGGCTGAGCCAGCTGCGCGGGGAGGCCCTGCTGGGCCGAGTGGCTCTGAGGCTGAGGCTACAAGAACGCAGAGCAGCGAAGAAAGCAGACGAGTCACACTGTGTAGAGGACCCTTTGCTTTTGTCAGGGGGATGGAGCAGAGGGGCTCTCACTTCTTAGAAGAGTTGACACTTGAGTGAAGTCTTAAAAAATGGGTGGCCCTGACCTGTTTGGCTCAGTGGATGGAGCGTCGGCCTGAGGACTCAAGGGTCCCAGGTTCCATTCCGGACAAGGGGCATGTACCTTGGTTGCGGGCACATCCCCAGGTGGGGGTTTGCAGGAGGCAGCTGATCGATGTTTCTCTCTCATCGATGTTTCTAACTCTCTAACCCTCTCCTGTCCTCTCTGTAAAAAAATCAATGAAATATATATTTTTTGAAAATGGGTGGATGGGACCTTGGAAAAAGGCGTTGCAAGAAAGGGCCACAGCAGGAGTCCGTGGGCACGAGAGGATCCCGAGAGCATAGCCATGGGGATGTCACGGGGCAGGTGCGGATAACGAGGGACTCGGGCACTTTGGGGTGATGACGTCACACGCGCGGAGAGATGTTTAAGGAGAATAACGGGATGCAGAGAAGAGGGAATAATGGCATGAGTGGGACAAAGTGACATAACGGTGGCCGTGTTGTCTGGCAGTTGGGTGGTGTGTACGGTTATTTTTTTATTTTCGGCATAAAAACCAATCGCAAGAATTAACTGAAGTGCTCGCGGTCCTCCTCGAGGGCGGCCTGTGTGTTTTGGTTCTTGTAGAGTCGCTGGCAGGAGGGCCTGCTGAGTCACCTCGCCGTTTTGAGGATAATGGGGTAAGATTTGGTTTGGATTACACCAGGCATGGGTAGTTAACATAATTGGCCATTTCATCAATTCCCAGCACTTATTGTAAATGCCATTTAGGCTGCGCGAGACAATTGTAGATGTGAGCAGTTCCCCTCGACTGGAGAGCACTTCAGCTCGTGTTCCATGGAGGCAGCGGAGTGCCGGAGGGGACACCATTGTCTCAGGCGGACCGGGACGGGGCTCACCGGAGAGGAGTGGGGCTCACCCGGAGTCCCCTCTGCCTATCTCCATGTGTCTCCATTTTGGTTTCTGTGTGTTTGAAATACATGTTTGCTAATGTTATTAATTAATGCTGTTTCTAATCTTCCTCATTAGAAAGTAACGTGTTTTGTACCTTTTCCAAACTCCCTAGTCCTCCTCCCTCCTCCCCATAATTCATTCACCCATCCAACTTAAAATTAGGTGACTTTAAACATCCCCTGCAGGTGAATTATTCTAACCATCAGTGACTCCTCATTGAAGACATGTCTCACCCTCGGTCTGACCCTTCATCTGGTCCCCGGAGGTCTCCCCCAGAGCCGCAGATGGCATCGCTGTCCGTGTTCGAGCCGTGCTGCTGCTGGAAGCGGCTACACACTGCCTGGTCCCATCGTCCACTTCTTTCCTGCCGGCCTCGGCCCCCTGCGGAGTTTTGTTCCAAGACAAGCTGCCGCCCGTGCAGCTCTGTGCCAGCCGACCGCTCGGACCCACCTGTCTCATTTCCAGCTCTTCCCCTGAGCAGGTGTTCCCCGCTCGCCCACACTACCCCCCACCCCCACCCCCCAAGCCCTTCCTTACTGCCCGTCTCTGTGTCAGGCACTGGCTGAGGCCGGCGTTCCCGGGAAGCCCAGGGCCTGCCTCCTGCACCCCGTACAGCCTCCTGTGCTGGGGTCAGACCCCATGCCTCCGCCCTTCGCAGTCACTAATCCTCTGCCTGCCTTCCTGGCTCTCCCTCCACTTCCTTTCCCCCGTCACCCCAGGATCGGCCCCCTTGTTGTTACTAAATCCATTTCTATAGGACCCGCTAGTGGGATTAAATTCCATCACACACAGCACAGATTTTATTTCCATTAGATTCTGACAACCCACGGGATGAGCTAATGAGACGGGAAGGGAAGCTTCGAGGCGTGTCCGGCGCCCAGAGCAGGCGGCACTGCTGCGGGCCCCCCCACCCCCCTCCCATTCCCCCTACCCCCAGCCGGAAGGAGCCTCGTTCTCCCGCCGTGAGATGAACGTTGGCCTGAGAGCACGCAGAGTGCTTGCTGCAGGGGGGACTGTGCACAGGGCGATGAGGACGGAGAGGACTTGCTCTGGGGAATGCCCGTGTCCCGAGTTCTAGGCAGTTTCGTGTACTCACTGTCTTGGGAGATCGGTTGTGTGCTGCCACTCGGCACAGCCCTGACTCTGCCATCGCTGTGCCAGGCGTCTGTACTGCTGGCATGTATGTGTGCCTCTCTTCGGCTGTATTCCGTGCCCTGAGAGTCTCCAGAGCAAGTCCTAGGAAAGCAGGAACACCCGGGAGAGGAGAGCGTGCACACGTCCAGGAAGGGCCCGCGGTTCTGGCTCCAGCACCGCCACGTGGCGAACGTTGTGACCTTGGGCGGGCCACGTGCCA